TCTTTCTACAGCTACTCCTTGGCTCCTTCTTACTGCTGTCTTTCTACAGCTACTCCTTGGCTCCTTCTTACTGCTGTCTTTCTACTGCTACTCCTTGGCTCCTTCTTACTGCTGTCTTTCTACAGCTACTCCTTGGCTCCTTCTTACTGCTGTCTTTCTACTGCTACTCCTTGGCTCCTTCTTACTGCTGTCCTTCTACTGCTACTCCTTGGCTCCTTCTTACTGCTGTCTTTCAGCCACACCCCTGATCTTCTGGTAGGAAAGATCTACACCTAGCCTTTTCGGACAAGGGCCAACAATTTGAGATTGAAGGAAATGTGAGGTCACCTAGTTTCAGTGATGAACAAAATGAGAAAATGGCCGCCAGTTTGCTACTCCAATAGCTAAAGAGTCTTTGAAAACTGAAAAAATGACATAATATATTATTTCGGGCCTTTAATCCATGTTTTTCAGTAAAATTCAATTGGAAATGTGTCTTTCTATATGGACAGTGAAGAGGTTCAGCCAATAAATAGAAATTCAATAAAAATGTCCTTACTGGTGGGAAAGTGTATCTCAGATTTCGTTATTTTGACAAGCGCCTGATTTCCCCACGATGCCTCACACAAGTGTACATACCGGCAGACAGTCAGCCCTCAGAGTGTCTGGCTCCGGGGGCGGAGGGGGCGGGGAGGGAGGAGGGGACAGCTGACCACGGATGAGGGCGGCGGCCTGAGTCTGGTGACAGTCGTCTGCGAGCTCTGCGGCCGTCAGTCCAGCGTTGTCAGACAGATCGACGTCACAGCCACACTCTAGCAGGGCCTGCACCGACTGAGGGGGGGGGGGAGGAGAGAGGTTTTTAGTTTTAGTAACGTTTCACAACACTCGTAACACAATAAGGTCATATGAGTGCCAAGGGGTGGGTGTCAACAGAGAAGTCCAAACGGGGAATCAGGCTTACTCTGCTCACCTCTCTAGCTTCAACAGCACAAAGTCTGCTTCGACTATCAAGGAAATAGCAGTTCACAAGAGAGTGACAAACATACAAACGAAGGAGGGGAGATAAAGACAATTCAGATGTTTGATACGAAAGAAGAAGCAAACCACAACAGAGCACCCACCACGTTGCTTTGTTCCTACTATTGTTACTGCTCATAGGGTCAAGGTCGAGATAAGTGTCCCAGAAACTGCACTTGTCGCTTCTGGAATGTTCAGATTTGTGAGCGGCCGCGTGGGCTTCCTCATTTAGGAGGCGGGCTTCCGACCCTCAGTGCCCACCCAGCACAAAGACAGACAGAACAATTGTCTCCTCACCCACCCAGCACAAAGACTGAGCTCATGAGACAGTCGATAGAACAATTGTCCCCTCACCCGGGGCTCAAACCCGTGTCTCCTGTGTCCTGCAACAGCCAAGCACCTAACCGCTACACCACACAAAGAGTATAGACAATACTGTACGGTCTGCCGGTCTCTGCCACCACGGACGCCGGCAAAGTCTCACCCGAGAAAGACCAGCAACAACAAAGCTAAATAAAAAAACCAAAAAGCAAAGCAAAAACAAAACCAAAGAAAACAAAACACCAAAAACCAAACAGAAAGCGAAGACGACAGGTGGCAGAGACTGACCCGTCCTTGATCTGTCCACCACACGACGGCTAATTGACCGCTGTCATTCAACTCCC